AAAAAAAAAAAAAAAAAAAAAAAAAAAAAAACGAAAATAAGATTAGGTAAAAGTGCAAGAATATTGGAGTGAAAGTTGTAATTAGAGGTTTGAACAGTCAAAAAGGTTTCTGTCATTATTAAATATAACGCGAATGTCATTCATTAGCTATCAACTTATGGGTGACTAATTTGATCTCTTCTCACTCCTGAACTGCATTAGTTTCAAATAGTTATAAAAGCTGCTCTTCTTGCCACTGAAGTACCAACGGTATCTTTTCCGCCTGTTCGGCAGCCATTATCCGTACCAGGTAGAGAAGTCTCTTTTCCTTTTCAATAGTTTTTTTCTCAACTTTGTTCACAAAACTAGCGCGAGTTGTTCCTAACTGCTGTCTTTGCCTTGCTTCTTAACAAACTCTATTTCTGTAGCGGTCTATTTTGTAATGTTCTTACGCCTGAAAATCACAGCTGTGACGGCACTCTGGCATTGAATAATATCAGTCATTCCATTTGATTTATGTAACTTTTTCAAATTTTCAAAACTAAAGTAAATAGTTACTCAAAACAAAGTTTCGTAATAGGACGGACCTTCTTTTCGTTGTAACGGAGCAAAATTTTTGTGCTTATACTTCAGAAAGCTAAGTGGAAGAGAAGTTTCTGGTTTTTAATTGCATTTAGTGCATCGTTTTAGTAAGTCTTCTTGAAATCGTTGTTTCATAAATAAACTTAACGGAGTTATGATTCTGGTCACTCCATTTAAGAATACAACGGACTAACTACAGAAAAATACGTGGTTCAGCTAGTAGGATATTACCCTTGCTATCTTTTAAGCGTAAAAACTGTTGGAGTTTATGGCAAAAACTTTGTATGGCCTCCAGGTTAGATATTTTGGAGCAAAAAATTACCATTCGATTTCATGTTCTTGAATTCTTTATTTACAGAACTTGAGGACTGGAGAATCAACTCGTCGCTCATGTAGCCATGCAAATCAACTCGAAAATAAGCAGTTGGTGCTAGGATCACGACAATTAGATGTTGGGAGAGTGGGGAATGTCAAAAATGGTTGCGTTAGCGAGGAAAAGTGTGAAAAGACGAACTCCACTAAAGGATCACTGTTTGAGAGTAGCCAGCCACAAAATAAACGTTTTAAATCAAGTGACAACCCTCGTGTGCTCAAAAATGTGAACAAGAACGACGAAGCTCAAAATGTGGACAGTAGTGACGGTAATAATCCTCAAATGTGTGACGAAATCTCTTCAAGTAGTCGTCGTTATCAAAGTAATGCATTCAACCGGAGGCCTTCGAGTACGCGAGGGAAAACAAGCGTGTTGGAAAACTTACGTTTTGATCAAAACACTTCTCCATCTACCTCAGTGGCAGGTGGGAATTACGTACCGCCTGATGATAAAGATGATGCGAAATTAAGATCTCTAAGGGTTCGAAGATACCGCCCGAACGTAGCTCAAAAAATTGTGACGATTTCATCACGACGTGGGATGCGGGACCCACCCGCGAAAGAACGTCTTCTTCCAGTTCCGGCACCACTTGGAATCGCCGAAAACGGTTTCGAACTTCCTTTGCGGAGAAAGGTACTGTTTTGCTTAAGGTAAACCAATAAGGACAACCCCACCCTTTATACATTACTTCCTACTGCTAAGCTTTTTACCTTTTTTGTATAACATCCCAAAAACAATTTCACCAAAGTCGTTTTCCAGAGTGCAAGAATACAAGAAAAGCGGAAGAAAGAGTCTCCCAAAGTAGTTGAAGACGCACAGGCGGCCGAATGTTTCATCAAACCTCGGGGCCTCAAGCGAGCGGAGCCAATTGAGATCCCCAACTTCAGCTACGTCGGCCCTTTGGAGATTGCAGCACCCCCATCAAACATAATTAATGAAGTAGATCTTCGAACTAGTTCAGAGGAACCCATTTTTTAAAATGAACATTTATCAAGGATGTTTAAGGATCTGAGCGATGAGGCATTCTTGAAAAGGCATGAAAAAAGAGGTATTGAGGAACGGCGCGCGAAAAAAATCGACTTGCGCGAGCAACGGGAACAAGCATTCAGGTAAACCTCAACATTCGCTATTTCCACGAAAACTCTCGGTAACACTGAAGGACAGTGAATTCTTTCACATCAGACTGCAGTTTCAAGATTTAAGACAGTTTCTGTAAGTCATCTCGTTCTTACCTCCGAATTATGAGAAATGAGGAAGTAAAATAAAACTGAAGTGAAACCTTTAGGGAAAGGCTTATGAGAAAGCAAATGAAAAATGTCGAGCCATCACCGCCTCCACCAGCAAGATTCACAGTAATTCAAGTAATTGGAAGCAAGAAGAGGCTTAATAGGTAAAAGATTTGTAAATGTGAACACGCTCCACCGGTAGCATTTCTGTATATATGAAATAGTATTTTACTACTTTTCATGCGGGTGTGTACTCAACTAACAGTCCGTAATTTGTATAATTATATTGCTGTTATTTATTTTTCTGTGTCGTAAATGTCCGTAAGCAATAAACGTAAGGGTCATTTTGCTCTTGCCGTCATCATTAGTTCAGATTGTGATGACAAGCTCTAGCTCATTACCAAATGCTTTTCGATGTCTCAGTGACTTGAGTAATAAAACTTGTGTCACAGACCATCTTTGTTCAAGTGTAGCAATGTTGCATAGAACCGTTTAATTCATTCACCGCATTAAAGTCAACAAAACAAGAGTAGATAAAAATTTTAGGTTGATGCGAGTGAACTCGCACACCCACTAGAGGAGGGGTTCGATTCAGAATTGTTACCTGAAAGGTCGCAGTCTCCCACAACAGTGGTCATTTTAAACATCTTGTTTCTCAACTTTTCTCCATGAATAAATTCTTCGAAATTCATTCTCTGTCGTCTTCTCCGCTAATCCTTTTTCCTTCAAAAAATTCCCTTCTAACATATAACT